CACACCCAAACTGTTTGTATTTAAATACCACTAAGATGCATTGAAATTAATGATTGTTGGATCAATTTCAGATTTTATTGTTAAATTTCGAACACGTCACTTTTTCGTTAATTATTAAAACATAAACTAATAATGAAACGAAGGTTAATTTGAAGTAAAATTAGATGTTTCAGTTGAGAAGAGAGTTCGTTTCACATCACGTCATCTTCGAACATCCAATTATGATTATCATTGTGAATTTCTTAATAAATATAAAGCACATTCATCTACTACAAAACCAGTTCTTCGAATCTTATTGTACTAACAATAAAGAATTCGATCGACCTTATTATATACTTAGATTTAACCAAAACGGTGTGGGGCGCGAATGTGTAGGAACTGCTGCGATTATTGCTGTCAATGCTGACCTCAGTATATATCATATTAAAAGATTTTTGCGTATTAGACAGATGTATATATAGTAGTGTTTCACCTCTACGATACAGACATTTTATTGAATTAAATAAATGTCATCTAGTTTTAATATACTAATTATAACAAAAAAAAATAGTGCAAGACTATTGAAATCGACTGCATGGTTTTTTATTCAAAGGAACAACATTAAAAAATCTGTTGTCCGTTTGCATATTCTGTTTTTTCCCATTGATCTTTTGATGAGCAAATTATATGATCTCCTTAATTTTGTCACTTTTAAAGTGGAGTTTTTTTTTGAATATTAAAAAAATACTATTGATAGTCATATTAATATTTTGTAATACAGAAAGAGAAACATCTTGGTAAGAAATACACGGATTAGTTCGGTTACTGACTATTGAACGAAAACCGCAAGAAAAGAGTTGGCAGCAAATTCACTTATAAATTATACTTACTTCCTCCAAAAACGTTTCACAATTAGTTTATCACATTTGTGTTTGCAACAACATTTTATATGTTACAATTACTGTCAAATACACCTATAATGAATATAATCAAAGTATTTCTTCTACTTTATAATTCACTTATAACAGTGTAATAGGTTTTTTCAACAAAAGTAATGAAAGATGTGGCGACCAAAGTGAAGACAAGATCTAGTCTATACTCATACTCGCCGTTTTCATGTAATATGCATATTAATGGCAAGATCGAGTAAAATTACTAATGGCAGCGTCATATAAAGGCAGATTTTTCTGCTATTTTACACATTCCTTGATTTAGATCTGATCGGAAATAGGGATGTGGTTGTATGTAACGAGAGCATTACAACCACATCCTCATGGACTACTAATGATTATTCTTAGTTACGTTCTCTTGTACAAGAGTACAATGTTCCTTTTAATTGTATATAATATTAAATATGATTCGTTTTTGTTCAATTTCTGAACCTACCAAATAATAACATGCGGTGCAAAAGTCTTTGCAAAAATGTTCGACTCTATTAGACCATATTGCCAACTTCTAAACCAATCAAATTTTTTTTTGTTGGAAAGAGCAATGTCTGAACTACAAATTTTGTACCAGACATATTTTTCCAAAATGAATCTCAGAAGGAGGAAAAGGCAAAAACCAAATACCTCTAAAAAAGCTTTTGCAACGTTTTTACAAGTTGAACAGTTTTTATTTCTCAGTTATTTTGAGCTACATAGACCGGATTCTAACAAAAAATACGCCATATTATACCGCATCAAAAGGACTATTTATATCAGCTTTGGTAAAATCTTTTAGATCAATTCTCGACTCTTTAATCAAAAACATTTGAAAATTGAAATTTTTGTAAAAGGGAGTCTTTTGCAAGAACTATCGCTTTGGAAGCACATTAGCCACAACTCCTAACAATCATGCATGAACTCAATTCTTTGTGCGTTATTTGTTCGAAATACATCAAATTATAAAAACTAAGCAGAAAAAAACAATTCAAAAAGTATTTTTTATTGATGGAAAACGGTCAGGTAGCTGGAACGATCAAACTGCGCAGTTTCTTTCAGAAAAACCTATATTTTGGTATAAAATCTAAGAGTAAATTTAGCTTCCAATATACCATTGGAAAGAGCACTCTTTTTGCTACAAAAATCAACATTAAACGTATTTTTCCGTTTGTCTTCTGATATAAAAAAAATAACAAAAAAGAGAAAATGATATTGCGCGATACCGAAGTTGCAAGAACTTTTTTGGACGTATTTGGTTTTTGCCTTTTCCTCCTTCTGAGATTCATTTTGGAAAAATATGTCTGGTACAAAATTTGTAGTTCAGACATTGCTCTTTCCAACAAAAAAAAATTTGATTGGTTTAGAAGTTGGCAATATGGTCTAATAGAGTCGAACATTTTTGCAAAGACTTTTGCACCGCATGTTAGGATATGGCCTTAGAGACTATTCAAGAAAATATCATCTTGATCAAGTTTATTTTTCTATATCTATGAATCCATAATTGTATTAGAAATCTAATCGATTGAAAACAGTAATCCATTGTAGAATTATTATAATCATAACATGCTGCAGAATATGCATTAAATGAAGAAACAATTTCAAATAATGATGTTAATTCTTGAGCAAAATTTATCTTCAATAATCAATGAACGAAGAATTCGTTTTAAACTCATTTCATTATTGCATTTATCCGACAGACAAACATAACCAAATGAATGACTCATCTGTGGAGACTCGTATGGATGTACAACTTTTATGTCAGCAGAAGTCATTATGACATTTTTCAAAAACATAGTTGGCAGACAAAATGTTGATACTATTCACTAGAATACTAGAAGTGTGATTATTTAGATTCTAAATGACAGTCATCCAGTATATTGCACCATTGACTAGTTGACATTTAGAAAACGACGAAACTGTATCACTGGTTACAGTATAATTAAGTGTGAAACCATTGTCACAAAAGTAACACGATGATGATAAAATAACAGTAAATGATTTCAATAGCAAAACAATCAGAGTCATGGTGCAAAATATACAAAATTGAATTTATGATATCTTCACCTTTTATGCACGTATCTAAGATAAGTACAATACAAAATAGCAGAGATAAGGCTTGTATATCAGTTTTTTTGCAATGTGTATCATATGTTAAGGACGAACAAACAATTTTGAAAGCAATATTCGATAGCGCTACAGTAATCATGATGAACTTATAGGTTGAAACAATTTATTGTTACTTTCAATCGAACTATTTATTTTAGATTTTAAAAACAAAAAAATGTCTCATTCAACTAAAAAATACATCGAATAAGTAGTAATCGAGAAAAATTACTTCTTCTTTGCTGAAAACTTAATTTAATTTCATCAAGAATGAACCCATACAATGTTTTAGTGAGATTGTCATATCATATTTATATAATCTTAGTCTAAATATACTATGTAATCGATCACAACAAAATATCAACGGAAACACGATATCAACAATTTGATTCAATCAATATGAATAGAGTGATATCGTAGAGAAGGTTTTGTCAATTATATATGCCATCAAAATAAACATTGTTAAATATGTTGAACTGTTTATATGGTTTGTTTTTAGTAATGTGACAAGCAAATTGCAAAACTTACATCTTGTATATTAGAGTATAAAAAAAAGCAAAGACGAATACTTTTGGTTTATCATTTCCAACGAAAACAATAAAAAAAAACTACATACTAAAATAAATAAATAGATGTTTTACAATTCTTCTCAAGAAAATGACAGTTACACGTTGAATTATGTTCTTTTTATTAACGATTCACTAAGACACTTGCCGTGGCTTGTGCTCGCTTAGTTCTTCCAAATATGAGTTGATGCAATACCACATCCATACGTCTATGATCATAAGAATATGCTGAATAGAATTCTTCACTCAAAGAAAATCATATATCGATACCTAGTGGGTGTTTCCAATGGAGCATCTGGACATGGCTTGTTTCGTGTCGAGTTCGTCTTTTTTCACAGGAAAACCAGCTTCTACTTATCAGAAACCAATTACTGATAAAAAGGAAGTGAATCTGAAAAAGAATTTTTTAATGAAATGTCTTTGAGGAAAATCCTTACTCTGACTTTTGGGGTGTGGGTGTGAGTGTCGATTAGGGGTGTCAATTTACATTTACGTTTCATTTAATTTACGCGTAAATTAAATGATAAGTAATTTATATTTATTATAAATGTAAATTATTTTGTTGCAAAATTTACATTTACAAATAAATGTAAATTATGATAATTGACATTTACGAATAAATGTCAATTATCATAATTTTTATTTACAAATAAATGTAAATTACTTATCATTTAAATTTACAAATAAATGTAAATTATGATAATTTACATTTATAATAAATGTAAATTACTTATCATTTAATTTACGCGTAAATTAAATGAAACGTAAATGTAAATTGACACCCCTAACAGCAAATGTCAAAACTTAAAAATCACTCTCGTTTCTCAAGTTTTCTAAGCTAGCGTTGAATACATATTAACAAAGTGCTAATTTTGTCGGCTGCTAATCCTGTGCGACTCTTTGGCATCCTTTTATAAGCAAACGTAGGCGTCTACTTCAATTCTCTTTTTTATTCACAAGCTTCTTTTCTTCGACAATAGAAATCCTCTTTTTTCTCTCTTTTCATATAGTCTGTCAGTGGGATGCTGACATTATCTCATTTTACAAAATCCTTTTTCCTATTAAAAATCTAATTACTTCTATGCATTTTCATTTTCCCACTAATTAAATATTTATAGAACACAAGCTTCAGAAAAAAATCTTTCTCATAGATCCAATCATTATTTTAATTTTCGTAACCTTCTACTGATAGACTATGTATAATAGTGATGAACTAGATAGCGATTTCCTCATACATCTAATCCTATTGAATTTCACAAAATCTTTTTGCTTATGAGGAACAAAATTATTCGTATCGATGACATTTTTTCGGTAATGAAGCATGTAGAGAACAAAGAGTTAGAAGAAAATCTGTTCTCATGCATTACATGACTATCCTATTTTTCACAATCAGTTTCTCATTGAAAATCTAATTATTTTCTAAAGATTCCCATTTTTTCGCCGACCAAGCAGGTATAACAATGATGATTACGACAGGAACTTTTCTCATTCATCAAAATATTATTTCATTTTATAAAATCATTTATCCTATGAAAAATCTGATTATTCCTATGAATTATGAGCTTGTCACCGATGGAGTTTTTCGATAACTCTTGATGTATGTGCATTTTACTCGTAGGACGAAGAATTAGTACATTCGACGTTTCTTTGTTTTTGTGAGTACTATGTTTTAAAATGAATCATTTTCGACTTCAACATCTGAGTTCCGCTCGAAATTTTCATTTATCTCAATG